CTGAATCTAGCAGAATACAAAAAGATAATACATGACCAACTGGGATTTATTTCAAGAATGCAAGGTTGGTTCAACATACAAAAATCAATTAATGTAATGCACCATATTAATAGAATAAAAGGAAAAGCCTATATAATCACCTTAATAGATACATGAAAATCATTTGAAAAAGTCCAAAACCATGTCATGATAAAAACAGTAAAACACACATACACACACAAACTAGAAATTGAAGAGAACTTCCTCAATCCAATATGGAACATCTAGGAAAAAACCCACAGCTTACTTCATACTCAATGGTGAAAAACTGAAGGCTTTTTCTCCAATATCCTGGAACAAGGCAAGGATATTTGCTCTCATAACTTCCAGTCAACATTGCTCTGAAGGTTCTAACCAGTGAAATTAGACACAAAATGAAATAAAATATATCCAGATTGGAAATGAAGAAATAAAACTATCTCTACATGTTTATGACATAATCTTATATAAGGAATACAAAAAAAACTAATAGAGCTCATAAATAAATTCAGCAAAGTTGTAGGCTACATCAATATATAAAAATCAGTTATATTTCTATACACTAGCAATAAACAATATGAAACAAACTGAAGGAAACACTTTTATTTACAGTAGCATCAAAAAGAATAAAATACTCAGCAATAAATTTAATCAAAGAAGTGAAAGACCTGAACCCTGAAAACTATAAAACATTGTTGAAAGGAGTTAAAGATCTACATAAATAGAAAATACATCCTGTGCTCATAGATTAGAAGACTTAATATTGTTGATAATATTATCCAAATTGATCCAAAGATTAAATGTATTCCCTATAAAAATCCCACTGGCTTTTTTTTTTTCAGAAATGGAGACACTAATCTTCAAGTTTGTATAGAACTTCAAGGGACCTCTAATAGCTCAAATAATCTTTAAAAATATGAACAAAGAAGACTCAACACTTCCTGACTTCTAAACTTAATACAAATTTAGAGTCATCAAGACTGTGTAGTACTGGCATAAGGGTAGACATATAAATGGAATAGAATTTAGAGTCAATAAATAAACTTATATGTCTGTGGTCAATTGATTCTGACAAGGGTGCCAAGACCTTCCATTAGAAAATAATAGTCTTTTCCACAAATCGTACTGAGATGACTGGATAGCATCATGTAAAATAATGAATTTGGACTCCTATCTCACCTCTTATACAAAAATTAACTCAAAATGCACCAAACACCTAAATGTAAGAGCTAAAATTATAAAACAGAAAAAAAATAGGTATAAACCTTGTGGCCTTTGATTAGGCAATGTTTCCTTAGAAATGACACCAAAAGCACAAGCAACCAAGGGAAAAATAGATAAACTGGACTTAATCAAAGTTTAAAACTTTTGTGCATCAAAGAACACACACCCTCTAAGGATACTGTATGTGCTGATGGCAGCAGCCAGTGAAGGACAAAGGCAGATATTCTTCGGGCAGTCTAGAGTCTGGAGGAACATCTTTGCCTTAGCCCAGGAAGAGCTGCACTTTTGCCACTAGTCTCAACAGGGGCAACATTAGCAGCCAAATGATCTGCCTTTTTGTACAACCCCCAAGAGACAGCCATGGGGCATTTCCTTTTGAGGACTGCTGTGGTGAATTCCTAGCTCTAGGAAGCTTATATTTACTATTTGCCATGGGTAAACTGTGAGAATCCATGTCACTATACTGAGTTACTACATCTACTTATTTTTGTTATTATATCGCTGTGTTTCCTATTTCTATCAATTGTTTTTATTACTTTTTCCCACATGCCATCTCAAAACATCCCATGTAAGCTGTGATGGCACTACCGAACATTCCCCCAAATGATCCTAGGATAAAACACAAAATGTTTTTGTGAACATAAATATCTCACAGTGATGCTGGTCTATCATCATGTGATACATCCAGGAGAGACTGATAGAAATGTTGTGAATAATTCGTATAATAAATATGGATACAAAATTCCTTTTTGCCTTAGAAGAGAACAGTCATTTGTTAAATGCTCAATTTCACCTTGTCTAGTG